TTTACTTGTATATTTAAATATATATTTAAAAGCAGGACAGCTTGTATCCTGCAAAGGGCAGGGCTGAGCAAGGCCCGGTGTGTTTGTTTATCGCTGAGTAGCAGGGATGCTAGATGGGTGCTAGATACTGTCGTGGTGGGGTGGAGGTGAGCTGGGAAGTGGTGATTTCAATACACTGCTGGAAACCTCTTCTTCTAGGCACAAAGGGAATGGTGTGCTCTATCCCAAAGGCGTGCCTTTGGAGCTAGAAATAGCTCCTAAAATTTGGTTCTGCTATAAAAGTGGAAAGACCAAAACCTTGAAGTGGCCAAAGCCCCGTGAACAACAGAAGATAGTTTGCACAAAGGTTCAGAAGAGATCAGTAGATTCAAAGATGCTCTAATACCTAAGCCAGAATTTGTATAGTAAGACAATCTTATTTATACAGTATGCTGGTCTCAAAATTACTAATTTCCCCCCATTTCTTCCTTTGCTAATCTACTAGACTTGTTTTTTCTATGTTTCAAAAGAAGTGATCTATTCTCCTTGACTTTTCAAAATAAAGCCAAATTTCAAGGTTTTGAAACTGCTCTTTCAGTTAGCTGGAGTCAGTGTGGGATTATTCCAGTAAGGAAGAATCACTAAAAATCCTCTTGACTGATCAACCCAGATTGACAGGGTATAATTATAGACATATCATAGACACATAAAGCATAGTCTTACAATTAACTTTAGAATTTAACTTGTCCTACTCTTGCATTTGAGTAGCATTTCAAAAAATCCCCTTTATTTATACACAGACACACTCAGAGTATGAAATACTGCTTCTTTTAAAGCCTGGTGTCTGCTTGCACCTGTACCTTGCTCTTGCACACAGAATCTGTTTGCTGACATTAAATACCCAAGCTGCAGGCCTGCAGCAGCTTACAAGGCTGACGGCACAGAGCTGCCCGCTCCCTGGGGTCACTCTGCACCCCCACTGCTCCATCACCCACTCCCTCCCGCAATTACAGATACCCTGCAGCCCGAAGAACACACCATCTATCCCCCACACCATTCCCTAGTGTATCCATCCTAGCCCACTTCTCTTTCCCCTCCTTAGTGCAATACTATGCCCACTCCCACACAGACAGCTTCTTTCCAGGCCTGGGTGGGCAAAAGTACAGACAAGGACTACGGGAAGGAGCAACCTGACGTTCTTAAGAGGGGAGGGGAGGGGAGGATCCCTCCTACCCTGTGTGCCAGAGATCCCACCAGCCTCTGCATAGTTAGCACTGATAACTAACCCGTCTCCAGCTACCAGTTTAACTCTGAAAGATTGACTCAGCTTTCCCTCCCGTCTGAGATCACAGTTCCTTGGATCTTTGCATCTTTACAGTAGCTTCATGTAGCATGTGCCTTCAACATACTTGCTGTTTGCACTTAATGGTATGAAACCTCTGCTTCCAACAGAGTGGGTTAGTTCTTTGGTAAGACCTTCGAAAAACATGGCTACTTCAGCTATTTATGATATTGAGGTAAACTGACAAATTTCTCCCATCAAACTAAACTATATTTCAAAAATATGGGTAAACTTCACCATGTTCAACCACGAACATTTGGATGTAGGTGCTTTACAGTGTTGGTGCAGGGCGGACATTCATCAGACCTTTCACAGGTTCCCCTACACTGCCAGAGAAGAGATTTGCGCTCCTTAGTCCTTGCAGTGGATGTCACACCCACACACGTTTCTTCACTTGCTTCAGGTTCTGCTTCTGCTCTACCACCTTTGATAACTCTCTAATTTCTTACACCTAAAATTGCATTCAGAGATGTCTTGGGCAACAGAACAAGCATCAGGCTTTCGCTACCCACATCATTGGCAGAGTTTAATTAAGGGAAAGGGAAGAGGTGGTGAAGCTTTAGGAGCCAAGATCTGGAACAGAAAAAATGGCGGCGCTGTCTGCTTTAAAATACGTATAGCCTCTCTCCTTCTGTAATCCCATCTCTGAAATTCTTATTTCGTCCCCTCATTACCACTCAGCGTCTGCCACTTCCCACACTGCTCACAGCACTAGCAATATAAAATAAATGGAAAAAAGGTTTTCTCTTTTAATAAAATTTCTGATATATTTCATGTTCTAGAAAAGCTTGATCACTAACTCAGTGTATCATCTTTGTGTCACTGCCACTACTACCACAGGAAGTTTCAGTTGGCTTTTCTAGGCATTAAGAGTTATTAGGACCTTTTTTCCCCATGCAGAATAAGTTGCCGAGCAGGCAGCTCTTATTCTGGGGCAAGAGATGGGGAAGGAGTGGCAAGAGCAAAGATTCATGCTGAAAAGACGAAACAGTGTCAGCTGTGGCTACTGGACATTTTGTGAACTAGGTGCTGTCACCCACCAGTAAGTAGCACCTCATACTACCAAAGTCTCAAATGCATTTACAAAGCAAATCTTCCCCTCCTCCCTGCCAGCTACAGTTTTTCCTCTAGACTTTCCTGCTTGGTTTTTAAGACAAGTCTCTAGCATTTGCAGTTGCCTTACTAAATCTTAAGAATGGAAGTTTGGGTAGAAGTCTGATTTTTGCAACCAGCCTGAAACGCTAAGGTGGTCCCCAAGATCTTAGAAAACGACAACAATTTAGTTCCCACCACCCAGGCTTTCACCTGGGGAAATGCCAGCATCAATCCAGAAGCCCTCAGCTCAAGCTACAGTACATTTTGAAAGGCATGCATTATAAAACACAGCTAAAAATCTCAAATAAAGCCAATTAAAATTAATGACGAATGGGGAAGAGGAGTAGATGACACTGCTATCTCCAAACAGTCAAAAAATGAGTCAGTTCTGAGGAACAAGTTGGGGTTATTTGTTCAAACTTCTACAGTAACCTGAGTTCATGTTCCCCAGGTATTTACCGCTCCTTAGGGCACTCAAGGCTTAAGGAGGGGCTAAAAAAGTCTCATGTGGCCAGAGATGCCAGCTTCTAAAGAAGCCAGCACACATACAGCAAGAGCTTGGGTACTTGGGTAAAGGATGTCTGAAATCTGTCCTCCTCTCATGAAAAATGCAGGGGAAGGAGACAGTTTCTTCCTCCCACAGATGGGAGCCCTCCTCCCCACCCACTCTTCTCTATAGCTTGTATTGAGAAGTGGTTAGTCATAGCAGGACACAGATGCGTTCATGCCTGGATGATGAAACTCAGATGATAACAAGAACATGTTCTTGTCTACAGGCCAGGAAACAACCACTCGTTTTCCTTGCAAGCCAGATTTTATAACTCCTTTGTGATGGAGAAGACAAGAGTCACTTTATTTAGCCTTACTCAGCATACTGGGGAAATACACTGGTTTTACTTCTCACAGTGCAGAAGCTTCTTGCTCTTCCACCAAGTTTGCTTTCTGTCCAGGCTTCTATTTCCTCACAGGATATCAAATGCCACACACACCGCTGTTGGCCATGAGATCTATAGAAGGCTAACAAGAACAAGGAACAAGGGTTGTGGACATGGACAAAGCTGATGCAGAAAGGCAATTACTGCATGGCAGGGACGTGTACCTGGCAAAGAAAAAGCCCTCATGCTGAGGTTTGGCTCCTTGAAACACGTAACATTGCAAACATTCATTCGCAATTCAGCAAGTTAATCAACTTAATTTGAATGAGACACTAATGAACTGGTCTGAATATATTTACATGTTTGGTTATGACTGTCCTCTGAAAACGTTGTCCTTACTTTGAGAAGACATGCACAACACGGTGGTAAGAAGTTGAGCGTTCCCTGCTTTTTGCAACACATAGCACATAGGAAAGAAATGGCAAAACCATGGTGAGCCTTTCTGGGGGTGCAGTTATGGACCCTGTTCAGGTTTTCGTGCTCAAATAGTGAGAAAATACAGAGATTTGCTGAGCTTTACAGATTTCTCATGCAGAACACCCTGACTCAATAGGGTGCTCATCCTAAGGCTGAAGTATAAAAATCAATTTTCCATGACCAAACTTGATAGATTTAGAATACCAACATAGTAGCAAGTAAAAAAACCAAATGAATAATCAAAAAGCCTCTTAAGCAATGGCACTCCCCTACTGGTTGCACAACTTGGAAATGTCTTTGAAATCCAATTCAAGATTAAAACCTTACCGGAGCGTGATCGAATTGTTTCAGTGTCTTGTTGTTCATAAGTACTTCGAAGCAGCCCTTGGCATTCAGTACTGCTTCATCACTTCATTTTGTTACTAAATCAAGGAAGTCTCTACTTAGTCACCTCATAGCAGAAGGACTTTAATGTACTCAACTGTATGAAACATTTTCTCCTCCTTTCATCCTGCTGTAAGACGAACCACAGCACAAGCAATACCTGTAGCATCGTAGCTGTGCTAGCTCTTAATAAGCTGTTGAATGACACCTCCTAGGAAAGAAATCAGGACCAGTATACTAAACTTCACAGTTCCAATATTATTCTAGTTTAAGGAGATGAAGAGCTTTAATGAAGCCTCCTGAGGTGTTATAGGTCAAACTAAAGAATTCTGCTCTCCCTCTCCGCGCTTTACTTGTGGCTTTGTGCTCAGTCTGGCTTTTCATGGATCTCTCCTGTACTGCTTAAAGACCAGCAAAAGTCATTACCATGTGCAGCAGACTCAGCAGTGTCAGGACCTATACACATTTTTCCCCTCTCAAAGTGTATTATTGTGCTCAACATCTCAATGATCATGAAACTGGCAACAAGATATTTACTTTGATCAAGGTGTTTATTGCATCTCAGAGGGCACACATGCACTGGGGTTTTTTGTTTTTTGTCTTTTTAAACTGAAATACAAAGAAGAGCCATTTTGAAATTAGCTTTTTATAGAACTTTCCCATTACGGTGTATGTTATCCCCACAGCAAATTCAGATACAACCACTTTTAATGGTACCATACATTGATTAAATAGTTCATTTGAAAGACTTTAGGTGAATATCTTTCCAACCCGATATGCTTTTACAGAGAACTGCCAAGCCACTTGTAACACTGATCAACAGTGACCTCATTGAAGAGTCAAGATCTTACGCCAAGCCATCAGCAGAAACAGTATGAGAACAAATAAAAATTAAAGAAACACAGTATGTACAGTAAAGGGCATGGATCTCTGGATCAGAATGAAATCTAATCACCAATAGTACAAAACTACTCACAGCGCATTCGGGGCAATGGAGAAAACACTAGCCTAAGGCATACACAGGTAAGCACTAAATTAAGAGATGTACGTAAGAACTGAACAGAGATGAGTAACATCACTTGTCATGTTTTGACTACAGATATACCAAAGAGTGCTCTTTTATTTGAAATCCCTTAATGCCAGCAGAACTATGGTTGCTTTTTCCAACTACACGGAGAGAAACTGACCCTTTACTTATTTTCAGTGCATTTAGCAAGAACTGATAAGTATGTGAATTTTAAATGCAAAAACTTAAATAATTAAAATAGTTTTTAAAATAAAAACAGCAATAAATATGGTGTTCTTTCGGATATGATTTTTCATTCTTGGTAAATCATCGAAAAAGTATTTGTTATGGAAGTTTACCTTTATATTAGTTTAAATTATCTTAACATATACAGTGCCACAAAAATAAAACATTTTTTCACAACAATTGAGATTCCTGTGACTGGAAAAGAAAAAAGTATTCCACACAATTTCATAAGTATTTTCCTTACTATCTGGTATTATCACACCATGTTTTGTAACAGATAAAGGAGAAATTGAGTCTTAGGGAAATTTTAGGTGTCCTCAAAAAGTTATATACATTGAAACCTTCAAAAACCACAGACATCGCTCCAAATGGCTCACCAAACAACAGCTGCATAATCTGCCCCCGTGGGATAGGTTCAGAAAAGCACTAGAAGGCATCAGAAACATACATCCATTGTTTAAATTGTAAAACACAAATAACCCAAGTACACGAATTTCGAGAGAGTAGGGATAACAGCTAAGGTAGTACACATTCCTAATGTTCACTTTCACAGCTGTGCTACACGTTTCAGGAGGAAGAGAAAGTCTGAGTAAGCACTGGGTTTGGTACTGGTGGCTCACTTTGAAACTCTGAGCATCTGTTTGTAGACTCCAAACTCACGTTTTTATCATCCAGTCAGAAAAACTGCAGCTGTGAAAACAGAAAAGTATTAGATGAAAACCAGAATAATGAGTTAGATAAAGCACGTTCTAGAAAAAGCACCAAACCTGCTCATCTGTTCACACCTCCCAGGACTTGTTATCAGTTTTTAGTGAAGCAGCAGTCTTCCCACAGACGGTTATGAATTTGTCTACTACAAACCCAAGTCAAAAGTAGCGAGTCCTAGCAATGAAGGTGCATCTCCACTCCTGGCCATCACCACCAAGTGCCAGTTACACCTCCCCAGGGCTGGAATTTGGAGAAGGGGGAAGTGGGACTGGATGGTGTCTGCTAAGAGCAGCCTGATCCCATCCACTGCTGCTAACTCCAGTGCAGAGGAGGCTTAGAATAAGTCTTAAAATTAAGCTCTAGGTAGAAAGAAAAGGGACTTAAGAGAGCTTTGAAGGTATGTCATGATTGTCCTCTCCTCACCTGGCAAATGATTCTAGTCTATAATTATAAAATGTCTACTGTATTTCTGCATTAATATTTTTTAATTGGCTTAAGTGTTCAATTTAATCTGATGCTTCTACTTGGCCCTCTTCACATCATTCTCCAAAACCCCCACAGTAACATTTTTGCCTTTTTTCCCTTCCTTTCTGCAGTACTGTTTTTTTGCTTCTCCATTTTTTCGTTCTATTTACTCCTCTGTTCTTCCCCACTGTTGTTCTACATGGCACCGCTCAGGACCTCATGCCTTGGCATTCAGAAAAGAAGTGCCTTGAAAAATTGTATGGTGGGGGAGAACATTAGCTGGCAGCAGTTAAGAAATACAAACAACCTTCCCTTGATGATCAGGATACATAAGCTTTCCTCTTTTGATCCCTTCACACCTCTGATACCCAATCTGTTTCCACACCCATAAGGCTGGAACAAGCCTCTTCAGCACCATTTTGCCCCCAGTATTTGTACCCTGTTATGATTCTATTTATTTCAGTATTAATTTCAGGGACAAAAAAAAAAAACCAAACCCAAACCACATGAACCTTTGGATTGAATGGAAACAAGGCAAAAAATGTAAGTTATAGATGGAAGATAACTTTTCCTGGTGGTCACTTTTGACAAAAATGTAGCCAAAAGCCAAGCTTTCAGGCTAAAATGAAAAGTGTGGACAGAGAATTCTGGTTTCTGTTTAAACCACCACATTATCAGTGCTTGTTTGTACCTATCTCTGCAGCGACATTTTATCAGCCATATTTAATCTACCAGCCTAACCAACATCTGTGTGCCAGACACGTACCACAGCGTAACATGCTTAGGCAGGCAGTCACAGAATACCTTATCGTTTATAAGAAATCCTTGATGTTAAGATCCGCTAATGGGTCCTTTGTTGGAGGTTTCTTGGGACTCTGAGTGGCAGGAGTTGGGCTTGGAGAGAGCTAACAGACGCCAGTCAGGAAAGCAGAAAAAAACAAAGCAGACAAGGATACGCAAGCATTAGATAGATATTGCTGGTTCCCACACAAGCACATTGCAAGCACATAAAGTTCTGAACTTTAAGTTCAGTGTGTTGACATTTTGCTCAAGCATTGTTTAGACTCCATCCTTACTACAGGGCTAACAAAGTTTGGCTGGTTTAATGGACACTGCTACAGAAATTGCATATATCCTAATTAGCATAGCTTCAAATCACTCTTGCCCTGCAAGACAGAATGGTGTCAGGATCATCAACCCAGGCAGAAGCTAAGAAATTTTTAGATGTTAAACGCCAAGGTGCAGAATAAGCAGAGTGTGTGCTGCAGAGTACGCCTGAAAATCCCAGAGACTGGCATTTAAGTACAAGTTGTTCTACACTGGTAGTGTAAGAGTGAGCCCAAAGTGTACCGGTATGTGACTATACTATACTCTGTTCCTCCTCTGGTAGGTATAAAAGTCATCAATTATTCCACAGAAAGTGTCAGCTGTTCAAGTTCCATGCAACCCTTTTCACTATGGAGCCCAATGATTCTCCCATCCTGACCTTACTCCCCCCTGCCTCCACCTTACTCAGGGAACGGGGTGTTTTGCACCGAAAGAAGCCCAGCAAGTTACCAGTCTAAAATGGTTAAACTTGCATTTACTGAGAAACAGGTGTCATCCAAGAACTTGAGACCTTAGCTTGTTCATAAGCAGCAGGTCGGTTTTCTGAAGAATCCTCTTGGTGGGCTGGGAGTGAAGATGCAGAGTGCAGCTCTAGTAAATGTTGACAAGCTCTGAACAGAATAGGAATGCCCATCAGCTCCACTTTGAGCTTTAATCAAATCTCCCCCCAAAACATATCTTGGATGTAGTTAGATGTAGGAGGCTTTTCAAACCTGTTCCATTGGTCTTGTACAAGGGAATTTAAAAAAAATCAAGGTGGTTCATGTGATCTGTTGCAAGTCAATGGCTGGCTTGGATGGGTGTACTCTTTGCTGGGTCAAAAAAGTGGCTGGATAGCCAGGCCCAAAGAGTTATGGTGAATGGAGTTAAATGCAATTGGCAGTTGGTCACTAGTGGTGTTCCCCAGGACTCAGTATTGGGCCAGTTTTGTTTCATATCTTTATCAATGATCTCGATGAGGGGAGTGAGTGCACCCTCAGTAAGTTTGCAGACAACACCAAGTTGGGCAGGAGTGTTGATCTGCTCAAGGGTAGGAAGGCTCTACAGATGGACCTGGACAGGCTGGACCGATGGGCCGAGGCCAACTGTATGAGGTTCAACAAGGCCAAGTGCCAGGTCCTGCACTTGGATCACAACAATCCCATTGCAATCCCAATGCAAGGCTTGGGGAAGAGTGGCTGGAAAGCTGCCCAGTGAAAAAGGACCTGGGGGTGTTGGTTGACAGCCAGCTGAATACAATCCAGCAGTGTGCCCAGGTGGCCAGGAAGGCCAACAGCATCCTGGCTTGTAACAGAAATAGCGTGGCCAGCAGGAGCAGGGAAGTGATCGTCCCCCTGTACTCAGCACTGGTGAGGCCGCACCTCAAATACTCTTGTTCAGTTTTGGGCCCCTCAGTACAAGAAAGACATTGAGGTGCTGGAACGTGTCTAGAGAAGGGCAACAAAGCTGGTGAAGGGTCTAAAGAGCAAGTCTTATGAGGAGCGGCTAAGGGAATGTATTGGGTTTGCGTAGCAAGGTTTTGGTAGCAGGGGGGCTACAGTGATGGCTTCTGTGAGAAGCTGCTAGATGCTTGCCCTATGTTCGATAGAGCCAATGCCAGCCGGCTCCAAGAGGGACCTGCTGCTAGCCAAGGCTGAGTCCATCAGCGACAGCGGTAGCGCCTCTGGGATAATGTGTTTAAGAAGGAGGAAAAAGAAGAAAAAAACCCACCAGGACACAAACTGCAGCTGGAGTGAGGAGTGAGAATATGTGAGAGGAACGACTCTGCAGACACCCAGGTCAGTGAAGAAGGAGG